AATTTGTTCCAGGTCAGCTGGAAGAGAAGACCACAACATACCTGTTATGTAGCTACAGCTGTAAGTGCTGTTGGTCTTTTGTGGGAAGCAGTCATATTAATATAGGTTACAGGAAAAACTGATTGCTCATAGACACATTCTGCTCATGGAGAAGGTTTTGCCTGTTTTCCATTTATTTATGTTCAAAAAGAAAACAACCAGAAATGTCTACTAGCACAGGTTGACACAGAGAATTGCAATACAATCATTCTGAATTGGCAATAGCAGATTGATGTAAAAGGCATGTAAGAAATAATATAGAATAAGTATGGGAACATGTTTACACTCAGTTCATTCTGCCCATCTCTCTACCTTACGCCCATCTCAGAAGGAACTCCCTGACACAGTGAATCCTTCTTTCTCTTTCTCCTTTCCAGAAGAAGTGATGAAGGGGACATCTGTCTTCTCTTCCAATGCTGAATGCTGCAAAGGGCTGGGAAGCAGAATTTTCCTTGGTGTATAAAAAGTGTATTGCTATTCCATGGACACTAGGTTTCAGCCAAGATGCCCACAGTCAAACTTGAGTGGATCACCATTTAGTGGTGCCAAGACTACACAACTAATGACACTCTTTTGGTCCAACAATGCTTTTAAGAGCAGGCTGTGCTCCATGGAGTGCACAGCAGCTAAAAGAGAATCAGCCTGTCTTCAGCAAGACAGCCCAGAGATTTTTTAGATGGCAGATGATTGGTGATGTCACATAAAATTGACAGCTCCTCAGAAAAAAGGATGAAGTTTGACTTAATGAGTGCTATGGGTGGGTGTATAAGCAAAGACTTTTCTAACAATTATCATTACCTGAGAAAGGCAATTTTGAGCTGAATTGACATTCCAGTAATTAAGGGCCAACGTAGAAAATCTTGGTCATTATAACTATTTAAATTTTCAAATTGCTTAGTTTAGAATTGCTTATGGTTGAACTGCTACTGACAGCTCCATCACTTTCTATTCTCAGCCAGCTTGATTGGCAAAATGATGAGGTCTGTACCACATATCACAACTGCATGCTGGCACCAAAAATCACTACCTGGAGCAGAACAACAAGTATCAACAGTGGTCAGATGAAATCACAATGAATCAAAATTTATATTCAATTCCTGATAGTGTATGTGCATGTAAAGAGAGCCTCTGGGTACTAGTCTCGAAAACACTGGTGGACGGTGTTGCATCACTGTATTTAAATTTACTTTATTGTGGCACATTTTATATCCAATTAGTTGAAATCCCTTTTTATGCCAGACTAAGAGAACACTTAATTTTTGTTTCTGGCTAACACTTTTCCACCGTGTTATCTTGTTTGTGTGGAATGATTTTCAGATGGCTAGTGCTATTTTGTGGCAATATAAACTTTTTGTCAGTGAGACAGATAGAAGAAACATCTGGAGGAGTTCACATTATGTATTGAAGTAACTTTCCTAATTTTGAAAGTTATTTTAATTCCCTTGTCATACCGAAGTCAAAAAGACTGGGAGAGAGATACCATATTTTTATTTTAACAATTTAGAAGACTCGGTGCATTATTGTGCAAAAATGAAGGCACTGGATCTCTTCTAGCTTTAGCATATTGGCCTCTTTTTTTCCCCCGTAAAAATGTATTAACTTATCATGTACTTTGTTCTACTGTCTTAGAGGCAGATTTTTTTTTAGTCCCTCTTCCTCTGTACTGTCACTTTTGATTCACAGTTGCTAAGCACTGCAAAAGCTCACCAGAGGGACACTCTCATAGTGTGATTTGCAAACTTTGAAATAACACCCACCAGCAGAAGCACCATATGCTACGAAGTTGCACAATAAACTGACAGCAGTATTTCATTTATAATTTGAATTTCCAAAAATGTCAGCATTTTTCACATCAACAAATGCTCTCTGCTTGCAGCTTATGACTCTGTCTTCTGAGTGGACATTAAATTCTGTTAATTCTTCTTAAATTTCTCCAGACGTTATTAATCACTGCCACATGAAAATCAATTAATTTTTACTGTGATAACTCGGGGTATTAAGACAAAATGCATCTATGAGTTGTGTGAACATGTAGCTACGTCATTGGGTTAACATTCTACACAAATGTTGGTGCAGTTTATGGCATGTGGACTTTGTGGCTCTCTGTAACACTGATAATCCAGTGCACACTTTTTGATAATAAAATGAAGTACCAAGGAATATTTTTTTAATCAATCATAGGCAAACTTCATATAAAACACAAGCTGTTCCCTTTGTGGTTAATTTTCATCCAGCTGCACTTAAGTACAACAGAGCCAGCAGAGAAAACTACTTGGCAACACTTCCTAATTAGGGGACGTTAATTACAGCTAAATACTATACAATTTCTATGTTATAAGAGTTCATCTAAATCAATGTTATTATGGTACTAAAGGAATTAATAATGATTTCATACTTGGAGGCTGTTGCCAAACTACCCATTAGTTCAGAGTTTAAAATGACTTTACAATGAAATCTCTAAATCTGTGTTACATAAAACACTGGAATATTCACAGACAATCACACATGGCACTTCTATTATGTATTAATAACTGTGCCTGATGGCATCCCTTTTTCATGCTGGAGTGTTGATGGGAAGGGTGAGAGAGAGAGAGGAGAAGGCCCCGGGAGGGAAGGCATATATCCTTACAAACTGTGAAAGTGAGATTTCTCTCTGAGAATGGAGGTCGTTGACTGGCAGATTTGATGCCGACTTCAGGGAGGACACCAACACATCCACTACAAAAACACAGATAACTTTGTGCATGAGTAGTTCAAATTCCAATGCTGGAATATCATTAGTTGGGATCTGCAGGCTGTGCAGTGGGACTGCAGTGCCTAAATCCACTGAGGCACGTGGCTCCCATGCCCCCATTCCTGACACACCCCTCTCTCCATTTAGGATGAAGAACTCATGATTGATCTGACACAAGCAAGTCCCTTCCTTCGGGGGAGACAGTTTTGTTTCAAATGTAACACGGTGATTGTATCACTCTTTTTGCATCTTCCATTTCTTGCAGCATCTGCCTTGTTGAAATTATGATTTAGCATTTCTAAATCAATGCAAATTAGAAAAAAGGAGGACCATAAGGCTACTATGCAGATGGAGAATTTCTCTCAGGTTAGTTCTTATTAAATAGGGAACCACAAGTGCCCATTGCTGTCAGAGCAGCTACTGATCAGCAACCTCGTCAGTAAAACTGGAAGAGAGATCAAGCACAGATGAGATGCGCAGAGCAAACTAACACCTGGTCTGCACAGGGCCCTGGAAGCTCCTGAGCTACAAGCCTGCAGGGGCTCAGCACAGACTTCACAAGGAGGAAGCTTAAATGGCTTAAAATCTTCTTTGTGCTTTCTCAGTTTACGACAGCTCTAGTCCATACACTTTCCCTTAGCACAATTTGTACAGCTTGCAGTGCTCTCTTGGTGCTGCAAGAGCTCACTGGACTTATCCCTACCCAGAGTTACTGCCACCCTGGAAAGCACTCAGCTGTACACTTATTTTCCAGTGCCGTGGGGAATGTCCCCATTACTATGTAGCTCTTTTTTTATTTCATCCTGCCCCTTTTATTCGGTGTGATGGAGGAGATATGATGTGCACAGACACCCACATTCTGGCTGTCTGCTTTACAACATCATTGGTTTATTTCTGAAAAAACACACAGAGAAAGATTAGTGTTGTTGCAGGGAAAAACTGCTCAATTCACATAATTTAAGGTAAATCAGGATCAAAGAAATTTACTGATTTATTAATGGCATGTAATTAACTGGCAATCAGTGATCGATACATCCAACATCTTTATCAAGCATAAGAAAGAAACCAAAATATGAGACACTTGCAAAAGTAAACATAAATTCAAGAAAAGCCTTCCATAAGAATCATAGAATCACAGAACCATATAATAGCCCAGGATGGCAGAGATCACAAGGATTATCAAACCCAACACCTGGCTCTGCAAAGGACCACCCAAAGTCCAAAGCCTGTGTGTGGGAGTGGTGTCCCAGCATCCCTTGAACTCTGGCACTCAGGGCTGTGCCCACTGCCCTGGGCAGTCCGTTCCATGCCCACCGCCCTGTGCTGCAGACCCTGTCCCTGACCCCCAGCTGCCCTCCCCTGACGCAGCTCCATGCCATTCCCTTGGGCCCTGTCGCTGTCACACAGAGCAGAGCTCAGCACTGCCTCTCCACTCCCTCACAGGGAGTCAGCAGCTCCTCCTTCAGAGTTTTGACACCACCCCCCTCCTCTCACATCCACATGGTGATGTGCCCCCTGAGGGTGAGGAGGCACCCTGAGGCAGTCACCCTCCCCTCCCGTGTGCACTGTAAACCACATCATCAGTACACTTGTGACATCCAGTGAGGAGAAGGCAGCACCAACCCTGAGGGAGCTGAGCACGAAGCATGGAATCTCTCTTTGCATGTTACTCATTTTTATGCACATTTTCGGGCTGGCACCTTCTTTTCTTCACAGGTGTCTTTGTAGGACCCTGGATACTCCTTAATCTACTTAGTGGTCATCTTCTTCCTCTTCAGGCTTATAAAGATTTAGGCAAATAGTTTGGGGTACCCCACTTACACACAGCATTTACACTCACAATCCTCTCCATTGGTTGTTGTTATCCCAGCCACTTTGCCAAGAGGAGGCTGTGTGAATCCCTGCACAAGGGTGAAAGAACCTCGCAGGAGTTTAAAGACCAGCGAAGGAAAAGCAAAGACATGCAGGGTATCACAAGACAGCCCCTGAGCTGCTAGCTTTGAAGAGCCGACCTCCAACCAAGTTCTTAAAGTTGTTTTCCTACACAGCCCCAGGATGGAGAAGGATCAGTACAGAGATGCAAAATTAACCCTTTCTGAGAAGTCAGACATGGAAACGTTGCTCTGGAGGAGACGTTTTAGATTGAATCAGGTATTCACAGTCACCTAATGATAGGCAATACTAAGAGAGCTATTAGCCTTTTCCTTGATTAAACACCCATGTAGAATATATTTTTAAAAGCTTTATTACAGTTGTGGACACAAGCAGCGGCAATGGCATAGGCTTCTTGACTTGAGGTCTACCTGTTGCTGGAGAAAAAACTGCAGACATCCAACCAGCCAGCCTTGCTGGGTGTGCGTACATGGCACGTTGCTATGGGAAGTCCTCATGCCATCCCAGAAAAATGAAAAGCACAAGTCCAAATGCCTGAAGGCAGGCCCAAAGGAGGAACAAGGAAGACAGCAAGGTATCATGTAGGTTAGTGTCTGTGGCTCAGTATCATTGGCCTGGGGGAGGATTAACTATCCTTCTTGGATATCCAAGCTTTCACTTTCAGGTTGGATATCAGGGAAAAGTTCTTCACTGAGAGAGTGGTTGGGCATTGACACAGGCTTCCGAGGGAAGTGACTGTGGCACTGAGCTTGTGAAGTCCAAGAAGTGCCTGGACAATACTCTCAGTAACGTGGCCTGATTTTTGGGTGTTCCTGCAGGGAATGGCCATAAACTTGAGCATAGGAAGTTCTGCACCAATATGCGAAGTAATTTCCTCACAGTAAGGGTGACAGAGCATTGGAACAGGCTGCTCAGGGAGGTTGTGGATTCTCCTTCTCTGGAGATGTTCAAGACCCGCCTGGATGCCTACCTGTGCAGCCAGCTGCAGGGGGCCTGCTTTGCAGGGGGGGTCGACATGATGACCTCCAAAGATCCCTTCCAGCCCCTACAATTCTGTGATTTTGTGAACCAGGAGTTGGAGTAGATGATCCTTATGGGTCCCTTCCAACATTTGTATTCTATGTTTTTATGACTCACTCACTTTCACTGCTGCCATTCTTTACACTGAGTACAGTGCTTGCAAACTAAAATATTTTGCCTTTCAATTCTAGATGAATTCACTTTCTATTTAAGATAACATATCCATATTAATACTAACATGATATTTTAGTAAAACTTCTAGTAACATCTGCATTAGAAGTACACTAAGTTCTGCATCATTTATGCATGGAGTGAAAGTTTGACTTGCAACAGATTGCTATTTTGATAGGAATACCTTCCGCTAAAGAACCAGTCTTCAGGTTATTTTTCAAGTGCTAGTCCAAATCTGTTATAAAATGTTTATATGTGCACTTCAGAGCATAGTTATAGTATAGCTGTAAAAGGAAAAAAACCAAACCACTCCACAACTGGTGTCTTTTCGCATACTTAAAGTGTCAGAAGCAATTTGCTGTTCTGTCACCCTCAGGCTGTGCAAAGCTAACCCTCACAAGCAGTTGCACGCTGCTAAGTGCACACATACTCACCAGCACAAGCCCCACTGCTTGCCTCCACACCTCACGCAGTCACAGGCTGTCCCCAGAACCTCAGAGCGAAGCAGAGTGGTGCTTTTCACCTTAAGGATGTGAAAGGAGATGTTCCTGTGACAATAAAAGAACTCCTAAGTGCACCACCAATCACAAATCATTTTCAAAATTGCTCCTGGCTTTTTAATTTCTTTCATTTGTAGAATTTATAGCACAGTGACATGCTGGAATATTTTTTCCATGGTCTGCCCATCATGTGGTGCACCACTGGCACGACACCAGGCTTCAGCCTATATTAATCTATACCTCTGTAATGATCATTTGTGTTTCTTAATAAATGACTGATAATTGTGCGTGTAACTCTGGAAGTGATTAAAACTATCATCAGTATAGGGTGCAGACTGTTTCAGCCTTTTTTTTTTTTTTTCATGGATATTTGCCATTCTTCCTTTTTAGTATTGTTATCACTGAAACAAAAAGCTTCCTGTTTGAAAATTATTTATGGAGCGTTTGCAGAGCTTTATAAGATTTTCATACAGTGCTCTTTGAGCTGATATCCTTTTGGGTTAGTGTGTACTCTCAATTTCAGCTCATGGATGAGAACAACTTTCTTTTCATAGTTCTCAGCTCAAGAAATGTCTGTGAGAATTGCATCTTTTGATGTGCTCCATCATGTTGGCTTTTGGGGAAGGCTGTACAGAATTACAGAAGCTGGAGATGGAACATCCAGACCATCCAGTGTCTGTGACCCTGTAAAGTCCTGTGCCTTCTGAACAGTTATCTCATCTTCAGCCAAGTCCCAGCTGAGGGGCTTCTGCTGCTTTCACAGTGGGCTGCCCAACAGCCTCACCTAACCACTTATAGAACCATTCGTTGGTACTCACCTCCAATTTTCCACTTGTTATTTTTGCCTGGTGCATCTAATAATTTCCCAGTGTTTTGTAGCAAACCATTTTCCTCCACTGTTAGAATTCACATTTAGCTTTTATTATAGATCTCTACCAGCATACTATTTCCTATCTGCATTAATATGACATGTAACGGCACTAGTCATGAACCACAACACTTTAAGCAAGTGATGTGCAAAAACAGGGCAAAAAAGCAATCTCTGCCTCAATGAGTTAATTGTTAGGATGAAATAAGCTTGCATAATGCACAACAAGCAACAAGGAAGAAATATTAGTTTCAAAGCCAAAGCATTTCAAAGTTACAAAATATTAAAGTTGCCCATGCCACTGCATCTCAGCCACTGTAAATGCCATTTTCAGTGACATTGTTCTCTGATTTGTTGTTCTTCCAGCCATTCCGAAAGTTAAATTCACAGGCAAGAGATCTGGTCAGTGAGCAATTTCCTTTTGGTCTCAGTATTGCTCCTTTTATGATGAGGCACTTTGTCTCCAATAAGTTCATTCTAGCTCTTCTTGTTTGGATCACCCTGCTGTTGTTCAGCTGCCAGTTCTAAGTTCTCGTCTTCTGTTGCATCTTCCCCCCATGCCTTTCCTTTTCCTTTCCCTGCTTGCACTTGCACTCACTGTTTCCTTTAGTTCCCATTAGCTCTAATCTGCACTGGACTTACTGTGCCAATGTCTTTCTCTCCCTCTGTTCCAACTTTCAGCTGATGTTTGAGTTTCGCTGCATCCATCCTGCACTGCTCCTCTTAGCACCTTTCACTGTATAAATGCAGCAGAAGGCAAGTGGTGAGGACAGGGGCCAGTCTCTCCTTTGTCATGGCTCACGCTCTGAAGTTTGGAACTCAGCACAATGAAATTTCCAGGTGTGGGCTGAAAAATTCCATTCCACAATATGTTTTCTTTTTTTTTTCCCAGCTTTATTTATTTATTTATTTGCTTTTGTTTTTGTTTTTGTTTTGAATAAAGTTCAGCTGAGGAAGATATCTACCTAGGAAATTGTAGTCTATACAACTAGCTTGTCAGTATCACAGCTGAAGCAAAATTGAGCCTATAACATTTATGATTCTTAGCCTAGCCTCTGCCTATAATACTTGCAGTTCTTAAGAATTCAAAGCTCTACATGTGCTTTGCACGTGCTCTTTGCTACTTTTTCCTCAAAACATGTCCTATTGACCAATTGTAGTGTGTTCAAACATGCTAGCAGCAACTGACTCACTCATCTGCCTCACCCGTCATACACGTGTCTAAAAATCTTACCAGCTCTGAGTTTCTGAACATTGTCAGAAAAACCCAGAGCTCTGATGCATTCTAAGGTGTATTCTAAGGTGCTGTGCATTTTTGTTCTGTATTGCACCACTTTTACACCTCACTGAGTTTCAGGACAGCAATATAGAAGAAAATTAGGCCCCAAATATATATATATATATATATCCATTTGTGTTCTAAAATTATGTAACACACGGCTCTACAGCCCTCTAATGAAGAAAATGGCAGAACGGTTCAGGAAAATTAAACAGAATTATTGCTTAACAAAGAAATCTGCCCAGTGGAGACAACTCTGAAAACACATGTTCATTTAAGAGCAGATGGTTATCTTCCTGCAGAAGTGACTTCCATTTATTAATTTATTAATTCACTCTGAGCAGAAGGTCCTGAGTTTTCAATGAGGTGCAGAGGTGGGCAACGAATGGCACAAGATCAACAGAAGGAGCACAGGTGAAGGCTACTGGAGACTTCAGCCCCGCACCTTGCCCACGGTCTGCTTGAGGCAGTCACTGCCACTGGGACATCTCTCTCAGTATCTCACAGAGACAGGTACACTGAGACTGGACAGAGCTGATACGAGCACAGTGTGTGGCCTTAAATATCTGCAGAACCTCTCTGAACACTTTCTGCAGCACACTAAAACAGCCTGATCTGATTGTAGTCCAATGCAAGGCATTGCACAAGCAGAGGACTCTCATGCATTGCTAACGTACCTGCTAAAACCCAAGCTGGCTAGGTGAAGATATTCCAGGTTAAGCCTCTGTAAGGGCAAGCTGCTCCTACTTGTTGTCACTTCTCATTAGGAAGATTCTGGTTTGCGATCTTCCCTGCCAATTACTGTATGAGCTCAATACAAGTTTTGAAAGTTGGGATACCGCTCTGCCTTCAGCCTGGCAGGGATAGCCGCTAGGATGTCTTCTAATCCTGTCTCAGCTGCTTCCTCATTAGCTTAAGTGTCTGAAAGAAAAAGGAGTTGTGGGAATTTGTTTCTGAAACACTGTAGGAATATGTGGGAACAAGCCGATCTATCCATGCTAGCACTCCAGCTCCCAGTCCAGCCACAGCACAATTTCCAACTGTTTATTTACAGCTTCTTTGGCTTTAGACATGCACAGGCCAGGCCACTTTTCAGATCACAAATTTCAAGGAGCCATCATGAAGCACATTTAGCAAAAGAGAGCTGTGACTGTTTTATGGAATGGCACTGCCATTTTCATGAGTACTTGCCGTCTCCAATGATCAGTGTGGTTTGGCAGCCATGTGGGGAAAAATATGTTTGTGTAGATGTTCCCCGCTCCGCTGTCATCAAACACTGACACAGCTTGCTTAAAAGGGCTGAAGAAACTAGAAAAAAGTCCCTGGTGCCCAAATCTATAGTTAGAGGGGCATTATTGGATAACGCGATCCTAGCAGGCTGCAGGGTTTATTTTTTTTTAAACATTAGAGGACTCATCAACCCTGAAGGGACTGAAGGAGAATGGAGTGGATGAAACTATCTGGATACGCAGCACCGCAGGCTCAAAGCTCCAAGTCCCAGAGCTTGGCACACGCAGTTGCATCTGCTTAACGTCCCTGCTGCTTGTGGGCTTCACCCTGAGAATTGCTGCAGCACCGCACCACACAACATGCCCCCACACTCACATTAGGCTTCTCTGAGCGCTCAGAGGGAATCAACAAAAGTTCCCCTTTTCCTTTACAGTTCGTTCACTTTCCGCCTAATGAAGGTGGAATATAAAATGCTGAAGGAAAAAGCAGCTTTCCCCCTACAGTAGAATTTCCTTTACAGTTATTTTTAATCTGACATCTGTTTTAACGTGCACTCACACACTACATTTATTTTAAATCTTTCCCTCCCCTGTGTTTTATTATTTACCTCCTGTTCCGAAGAGATACAAAAGATTACAATTCTGTGAAGCAGTAACAGTGGTGGTGACAATCTCTCTTACTTCTTGTGACTTCTCTTTTTGCCCCTCTATTTTCCCTTTATCTACATCTTCCTGCCACTTGCCTCCCAAAGGCCTTGTTACAGTTGCTACCAAATGGGGCAAAGGCATTTGAATTTTTTGGAATTGGACTGATCTGTGCTAACTAGAACATAAAAACCTTCTTGTTAGAGCCTGGATGGAATAGTTGCTCTTTGTTCTAGCTCCATTCAGGCCCTTCAGAACATTAAAGCAAGAAGCCGTGTTCTGAGTCAGACAACGCCTGTGCTGTGAGGAAAGACCAAGACCCCACTGAAGCTGCAGAAAGCAGAAAGAAACCTGACAGCCAGAGCTCTGACATGACTCTGAATGAATGTTTCATTTCCCTTGGAAATGAAGATAACATCCTTAATCAACTTACATGTAATTAAATTAAATGTTGGAGAATATGCATTCTCCAGCTTCCCCTCAGAAGCTGGTTGCTCAGGTCTGACGTTGAGGGGCAAAAAAATATTCTCAATGGATTAGCAGTTATCACTACAGGCAAGCAGCTTTAGCACTAACTGGTCCTACAGCCATGCTGGTAACCCCTGAAGCAAGCCACAGAATCATAGAATAGTTTAGGTTAGAAGAGACCTCAAGGATCATTGAGTTCCCTGCCACAGGCAGAGTTGCCAGCTGCTAGATTAACTGCTAGATCAGATTGCCCAGGGCCCCATCCAAACAAGGCTTAAGCACCTCCAAGAATGAGTAGCATCCACAACCTCTCTGGGCAACCTGTTTCAGCACCTCATCACTCACTCAGAAAATAAATTTCCCCAGCATCTGATCTAAATCTCTTTTCCTCTATTTTAAAATGATTCCCCCTTGTCCTATCACTTTCTATCCGTGTAAAAAGTTGATTTCCCTCTTGTTTATAAACTCCCTTTCAATACTGGAAGGCCATAGGCCCCACAGCCTTCTCTTCTCCAGGCTGAACAAGTCCAGTTCCTTCATCCTGTCTTTATAGGAGAGGTGTTCTAGCACTTAGATCCTTTTCATAGCCCTCCTCTGGGCCCTCTTCAAAAATTCTACATCTTTCCTGTGCCGGGGGCCCCAGACTTGGATGCCTGCTGGACTCCAACTGGGTCCTCGCTAATGCAGAATAGAGGGGTACAATCCCTTTCTTCTCCCTGCTGACCTCCCTCCTCTTCTGATGGAACCCAGGATACCGCTGGCCTTCTGGGCTGCAAGCTTATCCTGTTTGCTCATGTGAAGTTTTTCATCAACCAGGAACCCTAAGTCCTTCTTAGCAAGGCTACTCTCAAGGAGTTCTCCCAGTCTGTATAATGTCTGGGATTGCCTCAAGTGCAAAACCTTGCACTTTGCTTTCTTGAACCTCATTAGGCTCACGAGGGCCCACCTTTCGAGTTTATCAAAGTCCCTCTGGGTGGCATCCCTTCCTTCTGCTGTACCAACTGCCTTGGTCAGCAAGACCCCGGGCTTTCTTGTGAGGCCAGCCAGCTACACAGTGTGCCTTGTCAGATATGACCTGTAATGCATCTGCTCTCTGGGCTAAAATGGCAATGGGAATCCCTATACTGAAGGATCACCAGCCCAGCCCTGGCATTGGCTTTTGCCAAGACACAGGATTTTCTCTAGTTTGTTTGCTTGCTTGCTGCAATTTAGTAAGTATGTGATAATTTACGTAAGTCTTTGAATACAAACAGATCTCATTGCTACTGGTGAAATGGAAAAATGAGCTTATCAAGTTTTCCTGATTTTCTGGGCAAAACCTCATCCACCAGGGGGTTTGGTTTTATACAGCACCATATTGTTGAGATACTACATTTATCTTTATTAATTGAACCTCTGAAGCTCCTTTGTCTACTCCTCCCTTAGAGAAAGCAAGACTTACAAAAACAAGTGTAATAAATTCCACAACCACTTCCTCCATTTGCTAACATCTTTTAAAAAGTTGCTTTCTTCTCAGCTAAGGAAGCAATTCTAAATTGATGCTTTTACAGTTCAGTGTTTTCAAACACCTCCAATGAACTGGGAGATCTGAAACTGCTATACCTCAAGAAAGCTTTGCTTCCAGAAGATCACAACTTATGCAGTTTCCAAGAGTTAGCAACCCACAGGATGCTAATCCTAGTGCTCAAACCAGAGCCACTTAAAATCACTAGACTCATCAGGAACGGCTAGAGCATCTTGTTGGCATCCCTTCTTGCAGAGTTAAATTTTATTGAAGGATATTAAAACAATTTTGTCATGCTTTCCTTTGTTACTGTAGGTCCTTGCAGAAAGGGTCTGTAACTTGTCTGGATCAGGAGGAAGGATCTCTACAAAATAACTCGCTGGGACCTTATGATCACTTGCTTACTCTTTCCTTTTAGGATGTGAAAGGACTGTCACCTTTTTTGACGCTTCTTTCTTTCCAAGTCTTACTTCTCAACTTACAGCGCAGGCTGTCTAGGATTCTAATAAAAATGGTCAACTGGTAGTTTCAACAATGGTGTCTTCATATACTACAAATACTTTTATCCTTTGTTGTCCTATTAATAAGAACTAGCCAGATGGACATTTCCCTGTCTTGTTCTCCTGGGTAGGTTACATCTAATTAAATGCAATTCCCTCCCTCTACTCCTACTGCACACTTTATGCATCATCCAGATGTCAGCACTGGTAATTTCAGCAAAAGTGCACCAAGATTTGGATAAAAGTTGCTGTTCCTCTTTTTTCTTTTTTTTTTTTTTCCC